GAAGGTGAAGCCAGGATAGAGCTTCCAACCACGCTCGTGGCTACTGGATATCTTTGTGTCTGGGCTGCTTCAGCAGGTGGAACTTGGGGCATACGTGGGCACAGAGATACGTGTGTGCATGTGCGTGCCTGCACGTATGCTCTGAGCACATGTGGAGTGCTCACACTGAGCAGGTTAGAGGTTGTGAGGACACGCCAGTATCTCTACTTTCAGTCAACCCCAGGGTTCTTGGCCTGTATCTCTTCTGTGTGCATTTCCTTTTCCCTACGGGAAGAATCCTGCCTCCGGACAGGACCAACACGCTGACTGATTGGTTCCATCCTGTAACCTGACGGGAAGTTTCAGGATTGTTCCATCCACACTGCTGCGCACTGCACAGCAGACCTGAGGAATTCGGCACGTGTCTCACTTCTCTCTACCCAGCCTCTGGCTGTCGCTCCCTGTGCCCTGGACTGCAGTGTGCAGGCTGCCACTGTGTTCTGAGTGTCTGTCTGCAGGGGGCTGTGTTACTTGTTGATACAGTTGGGTTTACTTGTTTTACTTTGTTTCCAGTTCTTGTTCTTTCTGTTTACTTCTACTCTGTAATTATCAACAATCACTAGGCTCACTGTGACATTGGAACTACTGACTGGGCTCACTGTGACATTGGAACTACTGACTAGGCTCACTGTGACACTGGAACTACTGACTAGGCTCACTGTGACACTGGAACTACTGACTAGGCTCACTGTGACATTGGAACTACTGACTGGGCTCACTGTGACATTGGAACTACTGACTAGGCTCACTGTGACACTGGAACTACTGAAAAGGGATTTTGTAGTGGAACAGCCGCTGTGATTTACATGCTGCACATAGGAGCAGCTTTGTTTTCTTTTGTTTCTAGAGTATACCTAATTTTTTTTCATATGACAGATAGAGTAAGACAGTGAGAGAGAGAGAGAGAGAGAGAAAGGTCTTCCTTCCGTTGGTTCACCCCACCACCAAATGGCTGCCACGGCCGGAGCTGTGCTGATCCGAAGCCAGGAGCCAGGTGCTTCCTCCTGGTCTCCCATGGGGTGCAGGGCCCAAGCACCTGGGCCATCCTCCACTGCACTCCCTGGCCACAGCAGAGAGCTGGCCTGGAAGAGAGGCAACCGGGACAGAATCCGGCACCCCGACCGGGACTAGAACCCAGGGTGCCGGTGCTATAGGCTGAGGATTAGCTGAGTGAGCCGCGTCACCGGTCCTGCTCCTCTTCTGATCCAGCTCTGTACCATGGCCTGAGAAAGCAGTGGAAGATGGTCCAAATGCTTGGGCCCCTGTACCCACATAGGAGACCTGGGAGAAGCTCCTGTCTCCTGGTTTCACATCGGCTCAGCTCTAGCCATTGTGGCCATTTGGGGAGTTAATCAGTGGATGGAGGACCTTTCTTTCTCTCTCGTCCTCTTTCTGTAGCTTTGTCTTTCAAATAAATAAATCTTTTTTAAAAAATCAGTGCTTTAATATTCACTCTGTTGTCTTCTGGCTGTAATAGTGTCTGCCTAGAAGTGTGATGTGGCTCTTGATGCTTCTGTACATGATACACCTTTTTTCTCTGTTTAGCTTGATGATGTTGTCTTGTTTGTGTGCAGGTTTTTTATTTTTTATATTTTAATTTCTTACATTGTAGTTTTATTATAGTTTTTTAAAGTTTTGTTTATTTGACAGGTAAAGTTATAGACAGAGAGAGGCACACACACACACACACACACACACACACAGAGATCTTACATCTGCTGGTTCACTCCCCAAATGGTCACAATGGCTGGAGCTGTGCCGATCCAGAGCCAGGAGCCAGGAGCTTCTCCCGGGTCTCCCACATGGGTGCAGGGGCCCAAACACTTGGGCCATCTTCTACTGCTTTCCCAGGCCACAGCAGAGAGATGGATCAGAAGTGGAGCAGCCGGGACTTTAACCAGCGCCCATATGGGATGCCGGCGCTTCAGGCCAGGGCGTTAACCCGCTGAGCCACAGCACCGGCCCCGATATCTTACTATATTTGAGAAATTTTGGCCACTAACTCCCACTGTTTCTTCACGTGCATATTTCTTCATTTGTTGTTGTACCTTTTGATTCTGTCTCGTAGCTCTGAGATGGCTCTCCCTACTGCCCCTGGTCTCCTGTGTTTCAGTCCCGTTGCAGGCTCATCAGTTCTTTCTGTAGCTGAGACAAGTTATGTCTGTTAATGCTTTAAAAAAGAAATTATTATTTGAAAGAGTGATAGAGAAGGAGAATCTGCTAATTCATTCCCTGAATGCGCAGCGACGTCCCGGGGCAGGCCAGGCTGCGGTCTGCAGTCCAGAGCTCTCCCAGTCTGGGTCTTCACGTGGGCGGCAGGGACCCAGGCCATCACTGCTGCCTGACAGACACGTTGGCAGGGAGCCAGCTCGGCTCAGTGTGGGAGTATCTCACGTGGCCACCTACCCTGCTCCGTGTCACTGTGGTTTTGAAGACCTGGCATTCGTGTTTGATTGTTTCTGGAGGAGTTTCTCCTGCTGAGATGCCTGTCCACGCAGCCGTTTCCTTTCCCACGAGGCGCCTCAGCATCCTGCGGGAGTTCCTTCCAACTGCACACCTCGTGGTCCTGACGCCAGGATCTCTGTGATCCTGCTGTTGTCTCCCCGCTCCTTCAGTGCAAGTCGTGGCCTCAAGCCACAGACAGGCATCCGGGTCCCGAGCTAAGCAGTGTGCGGGTGAGGTCTTGGTGGGTTGGGTCGCTCCAGGCCTGGTGTGGTGTTGTCGCTGTCCTTGCCACTTTCCGGAGCGTCCCCCTGTGCTTGGGTTGGTGGCTGAATTACCAGATTCTTTTTTTAATGGAAACCCTGTCACTCATAACTGAAGGTTTCTCTGTGAGCTGTGTGGACAGGGTCTGTCAGGTTCATTTCTTTCCCAGCAGTAGCCTGCTGTCACTTGTCACTTGAACGTCTTGCTCTATGGTTGGGACCGTGTTTCGTTCCAAGTTCTCAGCCTCACCCTGGGCCTTAGGGCTGAGGCTCTCGGCGAGCCCACCCTCCCCCACCGGCAGGGTTGCTGGCCACCCTGTGCACCTCACCTGTGCCTGGGGACAAGTTTGTTGGCAGTTCCCAGCGAACTCTTGCTTCTGTGATTCTGGGGCTAGAGACTGCCTGAGCCTATGTCTCTCGTGGTGTGGGGGCCGTTCTTGCCCAGGCTGTGATACGGTCCTGATTTCCTGAGACACAGAGGGAGGGGGGACTTTTGTGAGTACCCCTTGACGTCTGCAGGGAACAGCCTGCCAGTTGTGGGAGGCTCCTCCTGTCAGCCTGCAGGCCCGTCATACCCCTGGTAGCTCACTCTTGGCCTTTCCCTGTCCATCAGAAGCTTAGTGGGGTCTTCGCTCTGCCCATGCTCTTGACCCCGCTCTACTCTTAGGCACTTGTCTGTCCTTGGGCTTCATGCGAGTTGGTTGCCCTTTCACTTGTAGCTCAGAGATTCAAGAAAAATTGTGGTTTTTATAGAGTCTCCAGCTTTTGTTTTTCTTGTTGTGAAGTGCCAGGTGACACCATTTCCAGTTCTCTGTGCCCTAAACAGAATCAAAAGTCTCCTTGAAGAAGATTTAAGCTCCTAAATTGTATCCAGTGCTCTTGCCAGTCGTTCTTAACACCTTAGAAGAGGTATTGATGCCTCAGATGATGCTTGTGTTATGGCTCTCACAGGCTCCCTTTCCTGTTGTTGGGTGGTGAGTCAGTGTGGAGGGCCAGGAGCTGCTGGCCGATCCTGCTCACAGCACACTGTCGGCCTTGTCCTCCCCAGTGTTACAGGATTCAGGAGCTCTCCATGCTTGCAAAACATCAACTTGAAATTGAGGCATTTGCATTCTTAAAGTCTGTGGATATTTTAAAGGAATGGGGATCATTTAAGACATATATAGAAGTAGTAAAAAGGGTATCTACTGATTTCTCCTGTGTGCCGGCTCTCCAACCATCCTCATGCTGTTTGACCACTTAGACCTCTTCTCCCATGCGTGTTTTGAAGCACGCTGCACACTCAGTATCTTCTCATGTGCACATGAGTGTGAGGGATCATGGATTCATATTCCAACCATATGTACTGTAGGCTTGATGGATTGCTTCTGTGGTGTCTGCATTCGAAGGCAATCAATCCGTGACACAGTACATTCCAGAAATCCCTGACGTTGCTTGGTTCCTGTACCTGCAGATGGAGGCTCTGAAGGCGAGGTGTTGCCTCTGTGTTTGCAGTCCTCGCTCCATCCCTGAGGAACAGCTGGATGTCCCGCACTGAGTTTATTGGAGTTTGCGCAGACATCCCAAAGAGCCGAACTCAAAGGAGCGAATCAGTTTTCACATTCCATTGAGATGGCTGTTTATACCTAGATCTCCAAAGGAGAAGGCAAAACTATCCGACTTTTCTGGTTGCATTTTTTAAGATTTTTTCTTTTATTTATTTGAGAGGTAGAGTTACAGACAGAGGGAGAGACAGAGAGAAAGGTCTTGCATCCGCTGGTTCACTCTCCAGTTAGCTACATTGATCAAATCTGGGCCGATCCAAAGCCGGGAGCCAGGAGCTTCTTCTGGGTCTCCCACGTGGATGCAGGGGCCCAAGCGCTTGGGCCATCTCCCACTGCTTTCCCAGGCCATAGCAGAGAGCTGGATCAGAAGAGGAGCAGCCAGGATGAGAACCGACACCCGTAAGGGATGCAGGTGCCACAGGCAGATGATTAACCTACTGTGCCACAGCGCCGGCCCATCACTGTATTTTGAACTGTGTGTACGAGTGAGAGCTCAGTGTTGTAACTGCATGTTCTTATTTTTTTTTAATCTTGTATTTTTAAATAATACTAGATTTTCAGAAAAACTGAAACAGTAGGACAGGGAGTTCAGATACACCACCACTCATCTTCACACACTTCACTCACACTGCTAATGTGAACACTTACATGGTTATAGTACAGCGATCAAAACCATGCGATTAACAGAGATTTTGTGTTCTTATTTCAACAGCTGCAGAAATAGTTCAAGAACTTGAAAATATGGAGAAGACCAGAATGCGTTTTGAAGCTAGTAAACTCAACGAAAGTGTATGTTGATGGCTGTTTTTTCAATATCTGGGTAGAAATGAAAGGGAAAAAATTGAATACCCTAGTAAAATTACAGCAAGCAGCTGTTACTATGTCTGATCCCTGGGAGATGTACTGGAACACATTTTTACTTAGTTTATTGTGATTTGCTTGCAGCTGATCTTTAGCACAACATTTGATTGTGTTTAGCAGTGTGCTGGCACAAAATGCAGCCCACGGTGGCCTTTGCTCATGAGCTGGGGGCCTGTAGCAGACGCCTGTGCCATGTGTCAGGTGGCTCTGCGAGGGGTCCTGGCGGTGCGTTTGCTAAGCTGCTCAGTGACCTCTGTGGCCTAGGATTCGTTTGTCAGACTCAGGGACTGAACTCTGTGACATTGTCTTTAGCCCTGGCATTCTGCTTTTCCATGGCTATATTTACGGAGATATTTGGAAGAGTTTGTGAGGACTGAGTATTCTGTTGAGCTTTGGAAGGAGTCAGAGACTTAAACAGTTTCACTGTTGGCTTGCTTTAACTTGATGGCTCAGTGCTTGAGGAAAAGATGCCAAAGCCGAGGGTCGTCCTGGTGTCCCACGGCACTGGGGGAGGTGTCTGGAACTCTCCCAACTAGACTTCTTTTGTCCTAGACCATTGGTGTTTGTGAGGAAAGCAATATCTTAGGGAAGTAAGTTTATAACCAGGTAGCAGTAAGAAATGAAATTTACATTGACTTTACTATTGTCCTTGGAAGGGAACTGTAATGAATCCTTTGAGTATATATTTTTTCTTTAAGATTTGCTAAAAAAAAAAGTATATATATATATAATGAGGCTGGCACTGTGGCATACCAAGTTAAGCCACCGCCTGCAGTTCTGGCTTCCCATATGGGCACTGGTTTGAGTCCCAGCTGCTCTACTTCCGATCCAGCTCTCTGCGATGGCCTGGGAAAGCAGTAGAAGAAGGCCCAAGTCCTTGGGCCCCTGTACCTGTGTGGGAGACCCAGAAGAAGCTCCTGGCTCCTGGTTTCCGATCAGCCCAGCTCTGGCCATTGTGGCTATTGTGGGAGTGAACCAGCAGATGGAAGACCTTTCTCTCTCTGTCTCTCTCTACCTCTGCCTCTCTGTTACTCTGACTTTTAAATAAATAAATAAATAAATAAACCCACCAAAAAAAGATTTATTTTTTTGAACGAGTGGCAGAGAGAGAGGAAGAAGCAGATGGAGAGAGAGACAGAGACAGAGATATCTTCTATCCACTGGTTCCCTCCCCAAATGGCTGCCACAGCTGGGGCTGGGCCAGGGCCAGGACAGAACTGGCCCAGCAGTACAGGATTCTGGCATCTGAGCGGCGGCTTGGCTCTCTGTGCCACAATGCCAGTGCTCGTTCTGATCTTTGAAGTGTGAGGTGCAGTGGGACTAGTTTGGTACAGTAGTCTCGTACCGTGTATGTTCTGTGTGTGACCTTTCCGGTGTATCTGGAGAAGTCTGGGTAGGCAGGCAGGGCCTGCCTGGGCGATGAAGACCTGCTCGGGGTTGTCATCCCCTCGTATCCACTGTGCCCGTTGAGTCCTGAGAGTAGGAGAGTTAATTGGTCCTTTTATTAATGGTTCATCTGTTGTTATGGAGTCAGTGTTGGCCTTTTCTGCTGATGAGAGAGCAGTGGGGCTGGCGTTGCAGCACTGGTCCCAACAGTCCTGCTGCTCCGCTTCCCATCCAGCTCCCTGCGCTGTGCTCGGGAAACAGTGAGAGATGGCCCAAGTCCTTGTTCCCCTGCCACCCAGGAGGGAGGCCTGGATCGAGTTCCACTCCTGTCTTCAGCCTGGGCCAGCCCCAGTTGTTCGGATTAAGGAGTGAACTAGTGGATGGAAGATTCTCTCTCTCTCTGTAACTCTCTTTCAGATAAATAAAATAAATCTGAAAAAGGAATGTTGAGTAAAATGCCTGCTGTTCATGATACTCATGGAAATTGTGCAGCAGTTCCCGTTTAGGTCTTTGTATCACACAGTGAAGAAATCCTTTTTCTCTGTTACAAATGCCCACATTTCAGATTTTGAGGCTTGTAGTGTAAATTTCCATTTTGGTTATTTTGGGGGAAATTCTTAGTAAAATTTTTCTTTATTACTTTAGGTAATGGTTTTTACAAAGGACCAGACGGAAGAGGAAATAGATGAAATTCACAGTAAATATCGTAAGTTATATAATATTTTCTTTTTTGCAAAGAACTTGAGTTGCTATTTTTAAGTGATTTTTAAAAAAATAATATTTTATATTAACATTTGATACTGAAATTTTTAATATTATCAGTAGACTTTTAGTTGAGTGTTTACTCGGTGACTTTTTTCTGCTTTATGTGTCTGCTTTTGATTTATGACCGACACTCTGCTTTGAGCTTATCCCTGAGCACTTTGCAAATATTAATTAGTTGCTCTTAACGTCTCTCTGTGCGGAGAAGGTAAAAATGGAAACATTCTGATTCTGCCCTGTCCTCAGGCCGCTCAGTAACAGGACTTCTGCACGGGCTTTGAGCACCTCTAGAGCTTGCAAATTTCTGCCAAAAATGGTTCCCACCATTTTTGTTACCAACCTCCCAACTTGATTGTTTCTTTTTCCTTAAATAGCCTGTGTCTACATCTTCCACAGGGCTAACTTAGGGCTGTTTTGTCACTTAGGTAGCTGTTCCTTTTTTGTTTGCCTGGTTGGTTGGTTGGTTTTAGTTTAAATTTAAATTTAAGTGCCTGACAGACTGTTTGTTGAATGACTGTTCACGCTCATGATATGTTTTTATTGTGCTAAGAGAATGCCTTCTTTTTCCCGTGTTTATATTTGAAGGGTGGGCTTGGTGGTGGTGTGTTTTGGGGAGGGAGTGAAGTGCACGTGCAGTAGCTGCAGATGGCCTGTGCCTTGCTGGGCAGGGACACGAGCCAGGTGTGCTCCGGGGCTGTGGACTGAGCCTTCCCGCACTGTTGGTGCTGAGTGGCCGCCGTTTGTGTGCTGGACTTCCTGCTTTCCCGCGCCCCGTGTTCAGTTCCCCGTTAGTTTCTGTGGATCTCTGCCTTCTTAGCAGCTCCTGATGCCAGGCACTGCTGCTTCTCCGTGTCTGACCAGTCACGCTCGCCTCTCACCCTCAGTGCACAGGCTCACGTGCCCCCAGGCCTCTCGGCCTTCCTGCCTATCAGAGCCTCTCAGTCCCCTCCGGGCTCGGGGTCTCCGGCTGGCCTTCTTCTCTTCCTCCTCCTCCCTGCGTGGCAGCTGCTCCCTCCCGCCCTGTCCTTTGAAGAGCCCCGCCTCCGGGCCCCACCGGCTGCCAGCTTCACTGGGGCTCCCCTGTGAGCTCCCGGGGAGGCCGCGTTTCCCTCCCCAGGGCGTCCAGGGGTTGCCAGCGTCCAGGGCCTCTGTAGACACCCGAATCCGTGGGATGCAGTGTGTGGTGCATGCACAGGACCTGCGCACGCTCTCCTGTAGCCGTGCGTCGTCTAGGTCCCTGCAGCACGAGGTCTGATGGGAGTGCTGCCCCTGGCTCGGCACCTGTCGTGGGGCACTGACGGGAGCGGCTCGCCCTGTCACCTGGCAGTGCAGGTGCAGCGTTCCCCTGCGCGTCCCTCTGTGGTTGGGCTGAATCCACAGATGTGGAACGAGCAGCTGCGGAGGCGGCCGGGTCACCGTCTTGTACTTCTCGGCGCACTGTTGCGTTTGGTCTCTCAGAGCAAGGGTTTTGAGTGCTTAGGTAAGGGCCAGACACCGTGGTAGGTGCTGGGGACGCAGGATAGACAGGACACACACAAAGCCCACTCTCCCCAAGTCCCCCTGGTGATCAGAAAGCGGTAGGTGAGAAGGCAAGGGAGAGTAAAGCCAGCTGGCGCTTTTGATAACGTGGCACTGCTGGTGGTCACGTGTGCAGCTGGGCTCTTGTTTCTAGTTATACGTCAGCTGCTGCCCGTGTGCTGGGACCAGCCGCTGACAGCACTGCAGGCTGCTCTCTCACACCTGAGCCCGGAGGCTTCGCCCCCGGCGTCGGCAGGTTGCTTCCTTCCGAGGATCAGCCCAGCCTCTCTCTGGCTTGCAGGTGACGTCTTCCGCGTCTCTGTGTCCCCGCTTCCCTGATGGGAACCATCAGTCGCATTGCATGAGAGCTCGCTAATGACAGCGTTTCACCTGGAGGCCGCCGTAGAGGCCCGAGGTGCTGGGGCCCAAGACAGCACCTTGCACATTCGGGGACACCAAAGTCATCCCCTCTGAGTGTTTAGCAGAATCCTCTTCCCTTGTGAAACCGAAATTTCCGTAGAGGAGACAGTGGAGAGTGAACCCATGGGTGGAAGACTCCTTTCCTTTCTCCCTCCCTCCCTCCCTCCCTCCCTCCCTCCCTCCCTCTCTCTCTGTGCCAAGCAGATACATGGAAATAAACATTC